CTAATAACGGCCCATTAGTCCCGGTTCATGAACCGGGACTAAAGGCCCTTATGAGCCGGGACTATTAGGTGTTTTTCTACTAGTGATAATTTGTTTTCCACGACGAGTTCACTCATAGTCTTTTTTTGCATGTAACCAACTATGAGTAAGCAAGTATAATTTCTGTTTTGCTCTTACATTGCCATCAATGTAATTGCACCAAGAGCCAACAGAAGTTTTCTTTTTGTGGGGTAGCACAAGCTTTTATTTGGATACATATGATTAATTGCTGGAGATAGATACTAATATACACAAATGCTTGTATCCAATATTTGCATTTCCATATCTTCTAAGCCATTGCACAAATGCTTGTATCCAACATTTGGATTTCCATATCCTCCAAGACATTGCACAAATGCTTGTATCCAATATTTGGATTCTCATACCCTCTAAGACATTACACAAATGCTTGTATCCAATATTTGGATTTCCATATCCTGTAAGCATTGAATGCATAGCCAAGAGTGCAATAAATAGCACTCGAACCCCGTTCTTCTCCTCACACCATCATTCCAACAACTTATTTTCAGAACTTGGTCATGGCGTTCAGCGGTGCCCAGATTCTCGCTGCCTTCACCCTGGGCTTTCTTCTCATGGCCTTCTGTAAGTTCATATAGCAGTTTTTATCACATTGCAATTCCTTGCAATTTTAGATCAATCGATGAAACAATTCTACTATAATTTTTTGGTGCACACATTAATTCTAAGTCACATGCAGGTGTGGAGGCTAAGATATGCACGGCCCCTAGCAAGTGGGGCCAAATGAGCACTTGCAAGACCACGGCTTGCATCGGGGCCTGTCAGTACGAGCACTTTAAGGGTGGGTACTGCTCCAGCAACGACGGCAACTACTTTCACATACCTAAGAGAAAGACGTGCATGTGTACATATGACTGCTGGAAAAACCCCACCACCACTGTCAGAACCTACGTGCATAAGGCACCGGGTGAACCCGAGGTGCCCAATCCTAAGAAGAAGTCGCCGCCATATGAACGTGATGTGCCGGAGCCGCCCTCGGGAGAAAACAAGAAGAAAAGCTTCCGCCAGCTGCCAACCAGTGAGCAAATGGTCTAGTCCGCCCGTCCGTGGAAAATGATTTCAATAAGAGAGGAATTAATCAATACTCCTACTTGACTTGTACATATGCATAATTGATTACGTGTGAATAATAAAAATCTTGGTACTGTTAAAGTGAACCTGTGTGATGGTTCCACCTTCTTCCACCCCCTCCCCCTTACGATCCCATGTACCCAACACCGATTTGCTTCCTCATACAACACCATGCATCCCCTAGCCAACACCTGTTTTTCTCCTTAAAAAATGCTAGACCTACGAACAGGCTACTAAAGCCTACGAAACCTTCCATCTCTAACTAGAGCATGGTTAATAATATAGCCAGCTGCGGCCTATATGGTCTTGTCACATCATCTATAGCCAAGCTTATAGCTGGCAAATACAACAGTTGCATGTAAATGTGTATTACTTTTTTGATACATGGCCCATCTTTCTCTCTCACAACATGTTTAGGAGCACGTGATGCAGCCAGCTGTTATCAGTAGCCCGCTTCCCTTCTCTCTTCTCCTCTCCCTCCTCCAACTCATCCAAAATATAATATTTAAAGGCTTACAGCCTGCCTATGTCATCCTATTGTACTTGCTCTTAATCTCCCCCCCTCCCCCCCCCCTGAATTTCATTACGGGCATGTGCGCTTTTCCTTTCCAATCAAAACCTTCCATGTTAACTCTCATGTAAAGTATGTCAAAAGATTTTTGTAGATGCAGCGTTATCCTTTTTCCCTTGTGCGACCCCTCCTCGGTCCCTCCCATCGATGCTCGGAAAAAAGAAAAGGAAAAGGAAAAGGAAAAAAGAGATCCCACGAACCATGAACACATGTTCATATGCCCCATCTCCCCAACCTCGTCGCTCACAATCACGTATCTCTCCCCACCCCTGAGAAAATTCGCTGATGCCGCTCCACTCCTCATTCACCTCGTGGTCGTGGGAGCGCGGCCGCCGGGATGGGGGACGTGGTGGGAGCGCGGTGCGCAATTGAAGGCAGAGCAGGGTGTCTTGCAGTGAAGATGTTCCCCACGACCACTCGTTCGCCTCGTGGTCGCCGTGGTTGTGGGAGTGCATTCGCCGGGATGGGGGATGGGGTGGGAGCGTGGTGCACGATTGGAGGCTGAGCAGGGTGTCTTGCACTGATGCATCCACCAAGTGTCCTAGGCTGCAACGTCCTTTGACATGGAGACAAAGTGTATGCAGGGAGAGAGCCTGAGCGGGAGGGGTATGGGGTCAACGCCCCCATTAGCATGTTGCCTGCTGCTGCTCAAGGGGATTATGGTGGGGGGTCAATTTGAAGCATGGGGAGAGAGCACTGGGGAAGGTCGTTGCATTGGGGATTGATTTGGCCCCGATTCGGCTCGCTGGAATACAAGCCATGCCCATGCCACCCCATGGACGCCCCTGACCGAGGTCGGGGCTTGCCGTGGGTGCATCTGCACCAGTACGGTTGACAGTGTCTTGGACTAGGGGTACTCACGACGTCGTCTCCCGATCAGGTGGATCGGGCCGAGGACCCCATGGCGGTTCAGTAATTGGCCACTTCGGGCAGCGGATAACGTATACGAGGAAGATTCCACAAGACTTGGTGATCAAGAAAAGGACGCCTCTCCACCGATGTATCCGACTAGGACTCTTGTTATCCTAGGCCTTCGTACATTATATAAGCTGATACCAGGCTAGTCGATAGATCATTATGACATTCATCATCATACCCCTAGGGTTTAGACCACAACATATGATCTCGAGGTAGATCAACTCTGTACTTGATACTCCATCAATATAAACAAGAGCAAGACATGGGGTTTTACCTCCATCAAAAGGGCCCGAACCAGGGTAAAACATCGTCTCCTTCATTCCTGTTATCATTGATTCGAGAATACACAGCTCGGGACCCCCTACCTGAGGTCTGCCGGTTTGATACCGACGATGGTGCTTTCATTGAGAGTTCGGCTGTGAGATTAACAAAGGATTAATGGCTCGTTTGCAGATCAACCGCGACGTCGGCATCTTCGTTGCCGGCTCGACTGGTCACCTTGGATCGACCGAGGACTGCGCTCCGCCTTGGATCGTCATGTTCGGACAAGGGCCTTCATCAACATCAACTGTGATCTCTATCAAAAAATGGAGGAATCATCCATGGAGCTCGGGAGCTAAACTCAACATTGCCCTCGGGCGACTGTGCTGTTTTTCTAGACAGCGAAGTTGTATCCGCCGTCACCGCCTTCTCAAGCGTCGCTTTGACGATAGCTTTGGTGGAATTGTACGGAATTGAGTCTACAACAATCCTGTAAAATTTCGTCGTACTCCGATGAAGGAATTTCCGGCGATCTCCTATATACTGGAACCTGTCAAATCTGGATGGCAATTTGGAGAAGTTTAGGGCAAGGAGTCCAGCATCCAGCTCAGACATCTTTTTGAAGATCCAACCGTTCATTGGCTGCGAAATTTCTATATCTACCACCCCTCAAAATTCAGCTCGATCCGACCGTTCAAACTCCGGGAAAATTCCGATAAGTGGATCAATTTTTGGATTTGTTTTCTGCGCGAATACGAATGCGAGCCGAGTTCATCTTTCTTCATGAACGGGATATTGGATAACCTTTTTGGAGGAATTATGGAATTTAACATTTATGGAAAAAATATTTAAACTTCTGAAATACATATTGCAAATCTGGGAGTCCACTATGGTGTGCGACTTTTTCTGAATAAATAATAGAGTCCTTTGTACATCTAATAGTGGTTGTATGCATTATATATAGGTTTGTACAATAAATAGTTACTCTGTATTTACATAATAAAATTTGCATCTACATACACTACGTATTTGTATGAAGAGGCATCTCATGAATATACTCTCTCGTTCATAAAAAAGATGGTATTTAGACATCGGCCCAGTCACCAACATGTATCATTGGCTACATCTTATTTGTCTGTTTTTTGGCGGGATGGATACGTCTTACTTGTGTATATATTGCTAGAAAAGTATAAATTTTATGCCATAAAAATAATATGTTATCCTATGTCGTGATGATAAAGAAGTTTGGCAGGTGGCGATAATTAACTTTTACTTGTCTTTATTTGCCGAGCACAGAAATCAATTTTTTTTCTTTTAATTTTTGTTACTATCGTCATTTATTGAAAACCTTTTATTTTTTTAAAAAAATTCTGAACTATTGTTAGCGATCAGTTTTTCACCTTAACATAGAAGTATACTTTTTATTTTGATAATAAGCATTGATGTATATTAATTTGGCAGCTTCTCTATTTTTCTGTAGAGATTTGGGCAACGCGGCCTTTGTCTTTGATGTGCTTCATGCGTTGCTTTGGGTCTATGTGTTAGCCCTTTTTTTAATGGAACCTTGCTTTTTTTAACTGGGTTTTCCAGGGAGTCTTCACAGCTTTACGGTAACTAGCACATATGTCCATGCGTTGCAACGGTAGATATTTTTTTTTGAGAAGCAACGCGAGAGATAATTAATGTGTGCACAAAAAATGGTTTGCAGAGCAGTGGGGCGACGGAGCGAGGAGTTGTGGTCTTCTTCGGATCATGTTTGGCCTGTGAGATCTTGATAGTGGTGGAGTTAGTCGGCGTGGCGACGACCAACCAACTCGTGCCTTTTGTTCCTTTGGGTTCGCCCTCGTGTCGGGGTTGTGCCTCCCTCCTCATTTGGTGGCTGCGCTGCGACCTTCAGGGCACGGTTGCTTCGCCACTTTCTCCTACTACGATGTAACCGGATGGATTATTAATTGCAGTGCACAAATAAATTTTCATTAGCATAATCCATGCATAACCATGCAGTCTCTTCTTTATCAGGGTTTATTCTCTTTGATTATTTTAGCGGTCACATGCCTACAGTTCTTTTCTTTAGAGCCAATTCAGCATATTCTCTTTTATTGGCTTGTTCCCATAATTTCTTGAACTATAGTAAAAAAACATACTCTTTTATCGTCAAATAGCGCATGAGACGCACAATAGTTCGCGCCTGGCAGGCACCTAAACGACTTGTGTTTGTAAGGCTCGAGTATAAATAAAAAAAGACGAGTTGAAGGATCGACCTCACAACCTAAAAACTCGTCCACTAGGTGCTGGCCACTCGAATAAACAGGTCTTGCTTACCAATGACCAGCACGAACATTTAAGAACATACTGCATCACCATATTCAAAACATTTTTTTGATATTTTGGAAATTTTCCAAAAATAAATTAATATTTATGAATTGCAAAATATTTTTAAAACATGGGCGATATTTGAAATCCGGAATTTTTTTTGAAAATTTCGTTCATTTCGTAAAAAGATGAACAACATTTGAAAAAGGGGGAATTTTTTAAATTCACAAACATTTATTGAAATCATGAACCTTTGAAAATGCAGTAACTCTTTTTGAATTTGGGAACAATGTTTTAAAACAGGAACATGTTTTGAACTTTTATAGTAGTTTTTGAAAATGTTTTTATATTAACCACGATCATTATTTTGAATTTGTGAACGTTTCACTAAACAAGAATATTTATAGAATCTGGAACATATTTTAAAATCCAATTTTATTTTAAAATCCCAATTTTTTTTGGAGAACACAATTTTTTTAGAAAAAAAGAACATTTTTAAATGCAATTTTATTTTGAACATCTCAATTTAGTTTTAAAACACAAGGATTTTAAAAAATATTTTTTAAAATTTTGTGAAAATTTGGAATGAGAAAATTAAAGGTTTTGTACATTTTTTAAAATAGGAACAAAATTTTGGAATTCGGATATATTTTCTAGAAATTGAAAACACAAATCAAAATTTTTGCAGGTAAAAAATAAAAAATAAATAGAGAAAGAAAGAAAAACTAAAATAGAAATAAAAATATAAAAAAAGAAAACGGCTGGCATAGCCTTGCGCCCTGTGCAATGGTCAAACTATTTACGGCCTTGTGCGGTAAATAGGGTATCCGTAGCTGTGTGCGCGGGGAATAAGTGGGCTGGCTTCGACGGGCCACAACATGCACAGCCCATGTACGAAAAT